CTGCCGCAGTCAATGTCTCCACCTCGGGGTCGAGTGCCACCTAACTCTGAAATGTTTCTTTTCCTCGAGCTCGGCTCTGCTGACGTCCGTGTTCTTATACTTACCCTATAGTCTTCTATCACTCACCCACTGTGAGCCCTCAGGTCAAATATGAGTACCTAATTATGTTTCCATTGTTTAAAATTGGATTTGATGGATGATCTTATTATTGATCATGTCCTTAATTATTGCAGTTTCGATTTTTAGAGCGGTTTTGGTGTTATGTGATTCAGCCCGTTTAATTATTGCAGGTGTTTAATGATACGGTCGTGCGGATATAGATAGTCAGAATAATATTAAAAGTTAGCCGATTTCGAATTTTGTCCTAGGCCGTTGCCTATTATTTAAAACAAACATCGGTTATTACTAGCCAACGAGTACGGCACCATCATATTATTAATTGGCCAGAACAAGCTGGATTTCGGGCCCGTTTTTTAAAACTCTAACTGTCATTTTAATTAATTTATGAAAATGAATGTTGTAGGATTAAATTGTATGTATACAATATTATAATTCATAAATAATTTTTTAATTTGTTACATTTGAATGAAAACATGTCGCAGACAATACTATCATCACTTATCAGATAGTGAAATAAAATTGAAAAATTAAAATATTTTGCCCATCCCCCCCCCTTTGATTACATTTTTACGGACGTCCTTGAATCAAACAATACATTAAAATTTGGCTTAATTATTTAAAAACGAAGTAATAACTATAGATAGTAGCCTACCTAATATAATATTCACTCGATATTATTTTTAGCTGATTAAAAAAAAAAAATTAGCTATGCAATAAAACCCAATAAAACTTATATATTATATTATATTATCAATATAGTGGCCATTTCATACTGACAGCGATTGATGAAATTAAGATTTGTATTTTGTGTTCGAAATTTTATGTATTCCCTTACATCTACAATACTAAAGTACACTCAGTTCTCAATTTTTTTGGTATGAAAAACAGTAACTCGATGTTGAGCCTCCTACATTTACAAATTAAAATTGACAGAATCGATGGGACTACAGCCCTTTGTGGCATAAGTGATACTGGTAGAATTATTGTACTTTTGCGTCTCATAAAAAATGTCTAAGGGATTGATGAAATTCTGAACCAAGGAGTTGGGACTATTTGACAAAAGAAAATTGACTGAGGAATCCAAAATTGTTCATAGCTTTTAAGGCTTGGCAGAGCTCTGCGGTATTTATATACTATAGGACGTCACTGATTTGGTTATAGTAGCGTTACGAATTTAGAGTTAATTGCTTGTGGATAGGTTGGGTCAGAAAAATGGCCAGAACAGGTGGAATCTGGAATTAAATGTTTTCCTTTTATTTTTAAGACGTGGACCCTAAGTTAAGCATCCGTCGAACGTCAAACCCAAGGACAGAAAATTAAAATAACAAATGTAGGTATTTACCTATTTGTACTGTTGAATAAATTTAACTAGTTGCTACACAGTTAACATTTTAATGACAAAATTTTAATAATTGATTTAATCATTATTTTTATTTTCAATATTATAATGTACTCAGTACAACTATGCGTATTTTAGAATTATTCATCTGTTAATTAAGATAAATTTGTTAGTGTATAATTTTTTTTTAAATAGCTGTGGCTGTAATAAAAAAAAATGAACTGTAACTCGTGAAAATATAATTATGTAATTTATTATGTAGATGTGTACATAAATTAACAGTGAATAAATTTCAGTTTTTGGACAAACTGTTGACTATTTCAACGACGATAGTATGTTGACAATTCTACTACAATGTTGATAACTATAACATGGATAATATTATACATTTATGTACATAACTTTTGTATGAATTACTACTATTCATAGCGTAAAGTATAGGTTTGGTGCTACAGGTGAATGATCCTTGACCTCGAGTTTTCCAGGAGTTATAATAATATACAATATGAAAAAACAAACCAACCGTTTTCACTTTGGGTTAGGTTCACAACGGGTATTACCTATTTTGATTTTTACTTCAATATCACCCAAAAAGTAAACACAAGTGTGAATTTTCCATTTTATGTAGATTGTGTTAAATGTATTAACATTATTAAAATATAAACTGTAAATACTGTATCTAATTAATATAAAAATACTTATAAATTACATATTATATCCATAGTATTATGCCTTTATATGTCTGCATATATGAACACATTTTAATAGTATAAGATTTGTAATTACAAACTAATTTGCATATCTATAATATTTTATATATTACACAAATATGTTAATCTTCTTTCTACACGTGTCGTAATCTTAAACCATGTTATTTTATTATTACATTAAACTATCATAATATAACAAATAACAATACGAGTCCGAGTTGTTCAGTTGAAGATAAATTATTATTGTAATTTGATGATGTCCGTCGTCCATTACTGAGTACGAACAACGAATTACGGTGCATTCATCAGTATTGTGTTATAAAATTATAATTGTCCTTGTTTGTATATAAACATAGGTAGAGTATAATACGTTTTTCATAATATTTTGACATATACTTAATAAATTATAAAATTATTTATTGACTTAAACGATGACACTAAACGACAATACGACAATACGACAGTAAATAATAGAAATAATTATATGAATACCTAATATGAAAAACAATAATAGCTGATACCTATTTTATCCAATCCAAATAATAACTTTAGGATTTTTTCACAGTTTAAAGGCTTAACATTTGATTTTTACAACCTCTTTGGCTGAATGAAGTCGGGGATTTTTCCCATGTTGACCATAACCTACTTGATATCCCCTTATTTTAGATTATACCAGGTATCTACAATATAAACTTAGTCTTGGCGTGTAATCAAGCTTTTGCTTTTTTTTTTTTTAATACAGGATATTTTAAGTTACCCATACTAAATTATTTTTTTCACGGTAAAAAGTGTTCTATTATATGTTGAAAATTCATATAAATTAATCGGTTTTATATTTTTCTATAAGTCTCTAAGTTGTATTAATTATTGTTTTTATTTAATATATATTATTATTATATGTTTATGTAATAATATATCCTACATCAACAGGTCATGGATTATAATTAGTACCTACCTATGTTTTAATTGTTTGTTTTGTTTTCTTACATATTCGTTCTTCGAATTTTCATTTAAAGCAGTTAGTCAAACAGAGTTTGTTTTTCTTTTGTATTACTAATGTTGTAATGCATTATACAATGGTTATTTTGATTATTATAAGTTATAACGTTATTTTATCGTTTATTTTTCTATCGTAATGACACATAGTGTGATTTGTGGTGCAAAAGTCATCCACCAGTAATATTGTGTTGATAAAAAATAAAATAAAACAGTTACCGTTGTAAAATTTAAGATTATAAATTATAATATAGTACCTATGTAATACCTAAGTAATTTAATTTAAAACCTAAATTCAAGATATTGACAACTGTTGCATAGGTATATGCATAGTTAAATTATACAGATAGCTTATATTAATTAAAGGCAATAATAATTATGTGTTTGAAAAAAAAAAATACTTGGCAATTAATTTCCTTCACATTTATTCAGTTATAGCATACCTATTATGGCAACGTTGCAGATAAATTAACGTTTGTTGTATCTGGATGTAATGAAATTCGTATTCCTTGATCAATCGACCAATGTAAACACAATTGTTTATAGTGCATTCGAATAATTTAGTTAACCGAATAATATATAATACAAGTATACAACAGACGTTTCTAATTATTTGCATTTAAGTATCTAAGGGGAGGAGAGCGAGGGAAAGAGAGAGGGGAATGGCTGGTTAAAGTAAAGCAGCATATTGTCTGTATATTACATAGATGATGTTATTTACACGGGCAGAATTTTATTCGATTTTATTTGTAATTTATTCGTGTTTTTCAAAGATTCAAGCTGCGTTAAAATATATAACGTTTAAACACATAAAAAATAAGTGCGTTTAAAATACTTAAAATATTTTATAAAACGCTGAACAAACACCATTATAATATACATATTTAGTATGGTTACACACTTACACACACTTAAAGCGGATTATTCTACGGGTATTTATTTTTGGTCTCAAGTGTATGGCTTACTGTTAAAATTTAAAACTATATCAAGAACCAAACGCGGATCAATTTTAATTGAATTATACACGCTTTCATCGCAAGTAGAGTCGACGGATTCGTTTTCACACAATATATTATAATGTTTGAATAGTTATACCTACGCGTGTGTAATATATAGGTACACGCGTGCTCGTCAAACCTCGTTGTTCTCCGAGTAGGCACTTACAATAAAATATGGACCAGATGGTTTTTGCACGAGTATATTCAGTACCACATTATATGTTATTTACGAATCCCGAGGTCTTATGCAGTGTATTATAATAATATTATTATATTATATTTTTCGATCCCGTTACACCGTGTTATTTTTTCGGTATGCGTATTATACAAAATTATAATGCGCGCGTGTACGCTGTTCGCATTCGCGGGCCAGATATTTGTTTTGTTCTCGTCGTCGCGTGGTGGACCAGATTTGCAACGATACGTAATAATATTATTATACTTACCTACACGGTAAAAAAAAATCGTTTCGGTCTCGGCCGCGTTTTTAACCGTTCCCGAGTGCATTACATTGTAGCTGGTACTACTGCGTATCGGTTATACGACAGATAATACGCGAGTGCAGTTTAATAACAATAATAATAATAATGAGGAAACACGACTGAAAAAAATTTCGTCGTTGCAAGTCGCCCGACGGGTTAAAATATAATGCATATTATAATGATATAAATTATAAAGATACAAACGATTTTTTAACCGAAGCGAGGCAGGTAAACCTCCGCCGCCGACGACAGATGGCGCTGCTCCGTTTGCGCGGTCCAGTCTCCCCGACTACGGCGGGCCCGCTCCCCGCACGGTCCGCGGCGCCGACAACACCGCGGTAACCACGCATCGACACGACCGACGACGGCGCAGAGCCCGCACGGCGTCCGTCCAGGTCAACTGGTTTTATCGCGTCGTCCGTTGCGTGTTTTTCTTCCTTTTAAATCGTTTTTCCGTCGCCGTTGTTGTTGTAGTTGCTGTTATCGTCGTCTAAATATTTCACACGCCTACCGAACAAAGTGTAGTGTCGCGTGTACAACGGTGTGCAGGTGTTCGTCGATCGGCAGTTGATTTTTTTTCGGTCCATGTGTGTGCAATACGCTGCACGACGCGTCGCAGGTAAACGAGACAGCAGCACGTTATATTATTATTATTATTATTATTATTACACAGAAGCCCGGTGGTCGTCGGGGTCGGCAAACGAACGCGGTACGACGACGAAGTGTTTTTTTTTCCATATTATTACATATTTTCTTCGTTGCCGTTATTGTATTTTGTTTAACTGCAGCACACCTGTTGCCCGCGTAATCGTGTTTTTCGCGGTTTTTCGAGCTATGCGTTTCGCGACGGTTATTGCGAAGATCCCGACGACGTCGATCGAGGCGGCTGCTGCTGTGGCGGTGGCTAGTCGATAAACGAGCGCGGTTGTTGAGTGCCGACGACGTTTACAGTTTTGACACTGCGAAACCTACCTACGGTTACCCACCGCTCGTCTCGTAATTTAACGGTCACCGCCCGGCGTCGCCATTCGGTCCATCGTCGAGATGCTGTGCGCCGAGGAATTGATCGGTGGCTTCGACGAAGCGGACGCGTCGGCGTTCAAGTCGCCCATCCGCAGACTCGGCTCCACCAGGAAGATACTATACTTCAACAGTGAGTACCTAATACATGAACCCGAATTGCATGTTAGAACGTGCGCAATATTAATTATTATTAGCATTTAGTCGTGACCCGCGGGTCGTTATGTCATTTAAGTAAGACCCTACGCGTCAATATCGTGTCTAGGACTTTAGGTCATGGACGAGGCTCACAAAAACCGCAATACGTGACTATATCCAACAAGCTCTTCGTTGTTTGTGGTAACGGCTAACTGATACTGTGTAGGCGTCACGATTACGATATTTTGGGTGTAGACCGGCTGGCGCCTAATAGACGCCGATAATTTCTTATTGCTGCTCGAGAAAAACTAGAGCAAACTTCGGCACTGCTACTTCCGATGAAAGTTTATTATTTTTTCTAACTGATATCGTGAAAACTTCATTTAAATATTATCTTTTATTTTGGTATGTAGGTACCTACTGTATGTGTGTGTGCCCTTGAGTATCTATCACTTACTCCGCAGACCGAAACGGTTAGTCGAAAACGATATCCTTATGTCGACCGTTTACCGTCGTATCATCGTCGCAGTCTTTGGAAACACGGTAGGGTATTGGCCGTTATGGTACATATCTGATTTCCCGTTGGTTTTTTTTTTAGATCCGACGTACACGGATTTAAGGTGTACAATTTAAGTGGTTTTTATTTGAAAGTAGGTATCGGAAAACCCGACCGGCCTAATGGTAACGGCTGACTGATTTTCGCGATGATGAATTACTTATAAATATTAGATTTGAAGTGGAGAAAGTAGGACTTGTAATAATGGTTTTTAAAAATTATTGTAAAGTGCCGTAGAGAATGAAAATTTAGAATTTATCTACTTGACGATTCACATGTACCTATTTAGATTGTGTGAAAATAAAACTGGAGTAGATCTAAACTTGTCGATAGGTCCAGTATGTCTCAGTAATTTTGTTTGACTGGAAACATACATAATGTTAAAAATATGTATAATTGAAGTATACAACTTAACACGTGAGTGGTAAAGATAGAAGTGAAAAAAAAACTGTTTATAATATTGATTACAATAATGAATAGAACAACCGTCCAATATTGTTGAAAAAAACTTGAATCTAGAACGGACGTAAAATATATCTAAATACTTAAAATACTATAATATCTATGTAGGAATACGTATATTATATTCGAGTATCAACAAGTGTGAAAAGCTAGATGAAAAGTGAGTTTTTATGGTGTTGGAAGTGAAAGTATGTTTTCATCAGGAGCCGACATAATTACATTATTTCTTATGAGTTATGGTTATAAGTAATGCAGGCACTCACTTTGGCAATATTATAATATTTTGAATTGATATGATTAATTAGTAAATACATTCGTTAGGTGCCTAGTTGAATCGTACTCAAATATTTTGATGCACCTACTGATGTAAAAATTAAGATTTGAAGTAATATCTGTGCAATAATAAGTAATAATATTGTATATTAGTATCATGACATGGTATTATGTACCTATACACACATTATACAATACTAATACATAATATTTATTACTTGATATTAGTGTAATATGGTATCTATATCAAATACAGGGTGAGCATTTTATATTAAAATCGCCTATTTCACTGCCCCACTACTGAGCATCAAACATGTTCGGTAAAATGATAAATCTAAGACATTACTAACTTTACCTGACATTGACTTCTCATCGAAAAATTCAATATTATTTTGACAATAGGATAATCATCTGGATAGTTTTTTTACTACAGCAGCATCGTCGATAGTGACAAGGCAGCGTTTATTTATTACCTCGTGCGACAGCTCTTCGACCATAATATGTTTAGTTAAAAAACCCATGATGACTGGTTACCTATGTATTACTATTACTTCTTCAGTATCTATACCTTAATTTAAAAACTGAAGATGAATGTCAGACTATATATTAAATTGTGTCTTAAAAGTATATAGAGTAAAAAAAATCTGGATGGTAGCAATATCTGTTTATCAGGAAGCCTTAACAGAACTCAAAATTCTAATTCTATTTTTTCTTTAAATTATTATACCAAAGTTTATTCGAGAACTATTTATTTATTTATGTTGAAATAGGATGATAACAATTTATTTATGTAATATAGGTACATCTGGATTGGTTTACGGTTTTATGTTTTTTTATGATGAAAAAATGATTATCAATTATGCATTAAATATGATAATATTTGTAGTTATAAAAAAATTAATTATACGTATATTATTGGGATTGAATGATTGATTGGCTTTATAGTAGTTAACAGACACAATTATATAAAATATATCATCATTTAACCAGGTATATATGTATGTTGTTAGTCAAAGTATGTAAGTATGTTTATGATAACATACATAAATCGAACCTGATAATTTGTAATATAATAATTACCATAAAATAAGAATAAATAGAGAAAATACAATCATAGCATTATGTTAATGCTATGTGCATATGTCATATTTACACATTATATAAATTATATAAATCAGCGCTTATTTATTGATCCATTTATTCTAACCTGGAAATTTAAATAGAATTATGATAAGTGAACAGGTAAATTAATAATGCAGGTGCTTGTTCTGAATAAAAACTATGTATAGCATAAAGGTTCTAGTAAAGGTCAAAAACACTTCTGTGCTTCTTAATGGGATAAGACGTGTAGCATACATTTTTTTTTCCAATTTTCCAATTATTTTACGAATTTTCATTGAAATAAATTATACTTGGAAATATCAAATCATCGTGGTCATATGAATGCAATATATCCGCCGGTCTGAGTGGATACAGTACTTGTAAATAGTTGTGTATAAAAATGTTTCAAGTAGATAGTATAGATATATACTATATTAGGAATAAGTATGTAGATAGTATAGATACATACTATATTAGGAATAAGTAATATAGATCTAATGAATGCAAAATATTTGTTTTTATATGACGACGTGTCCATGTCCAATCGTAAAATTAACATAAGCCTTACTTCAGTCTCAGTTCAGTACTCAGACGGAAACACGTATATTGTTATTTTGAAAGAAATATTAATTTTTACGATATGGTTTTATTTTTATTTTCATTGTGAAAAGCCAATGCAGCTGCATATGGTATTCTTTATCGAAATATCTAAACGCGTTTGTAAAAGAGGATTTATAGTAGTCTAGGGAGTTTAAGGGATGCTATTGTTAAGACATTGACAATAGGGTGAATGATTTTTATCTAAACTTCTTGACACTGCTAGCATACAGATGCCCCATGTGTAATGGTAAACATAGTTTAAAATTAATTCCTGATATTCGAAAAGGCTTCTCAATTTCATATTGTTGTTGATATATCGTCTTGAACAATGAACAATATAATAATATTTCAGTTGATGTAGGCGAGCAACATTTTGACTTATAGAGTGAATTTATTCATCGATTACTAATCTAAAATACGATTATGTTTAATTTTACAATAATAGTAGTAAATTTTGTTTTATGTTGTTACTACGAGTGTAACTATAAATAAAATTTAATGTGACGCCAGGTAATCTTCTATAGTTTCTAAAATATTTGTTAAAACATTGCCCTTTTTCAGTTATCTATAGTTTTATAAATGTTTTATTATTGAAATATTTTTGGAATACGTTGTTTAGTTAAATTTATAACGAGTACATAGGTACCACATAATTTTAAGCTTAAATATAATTTTGATGTAGAATCTAATCCATGTAAATATTTGATGTATGTACTTTTTACTATGGAAGTTAATTTTGGGGAAGGGCGATTCAAGGACTTTTCTTAGGGGCATAGAGAGATTCGCCGAGATCTATGTAATTTAATAGATGGGGGCCCATACATAAATTATATTTTCTTATTATTCTATGGTATTTGAAAATGTACGAGGTGGCTTTAAATGTTGTCATTCAGTATATTTTGTTCATTATTGTTGGAATTATGACAATGCATGGCGTGAACAAAAATAAAAAATAAAAAAAAAAATATGAAAAAATACAAATACCAGTCAATGAACATCAATACACTTCCATGTATAAATAATGATCAAAATACTACACTCCAACCCTACTTTGTACAAAACTCGTTGTTGCGGACTTAGGAAGTTCAGCTGTCAGCGATAGAAATTAACGTGACCGTAAAAGATGAAAATATCTATAGGTTCTGTATGTTTTTGTCGGTTTTTTTTCATCACTCCACGTTGGTGAGCAGATGTTCATAATATATCCTTTCCCTGCTAGACGGCCACCACCATTGGGCTACCATATGGGCTATGTAGTGTTTGACACAAAACTAATTAATCATTTAAAACAGTTGAATATTATATGTCATATTGTCGTTCCCTGATAATACTCAAACGACTTTAAGGGTATTTAATGCAATAACAAAACTAATATAACCTTTAAGTACTTAGACATTTTTTTTTTGTGTGTGCTGTAGAGGTATAGATTATAGACTATACTTGTAGTATTACGCATAATTATATTTGATAATTTAGAAATTAGTTAATACGCATCTGCCTATTTTAAATTCCAGAAAATATGAATAAAATATTATTAATTTGAGTTATAAATTCTTAAATGTTGTTATTTTTATTTAATAAAAATAGAATACAAAAAAAGTCCTTATTATTTAAGGGACAAATTAGTGTTACCATAATATGTATAAAAAATATATAATAGTGCGCTTACTAGTTTAAATTACAGTTTAAAAGCTTCGCTAAATGTATACCAGTTTTTTTAATTTGAATTACTCCACTAGCCTTTCCATCCCTGTAAATATATTTTATTTATTTTGCATTGTAATTTATACTAAAAATAAAATTAGATACCTATTTATTTTCATATAATACATAATTTTACGTGAGCACTTAAAATAATTTTTTTAAATAAAAACTTTAATTAAGTTGACAAGGAATGAACAATAGCCATACTTTATCTATTTTCATTGAATTTAGTTGAACCACTTTATTATAATGTGTCCTAGGTAATATGCATTGCATTTTTCCTAACAGTACCTAGTTGG